TGCTGTTATAACAGGTATTAAACTAACCAAGCACACTTCAATACAAACCAACTATATCATTCCAAATTAGAATAAATTAAAATATTTCTAGAATATATTACAATAACTTTAAGAGCAACATCCGAAATGACATAAGAAGAAAAAGATGAATTAATCGATAATTTATAAGAACGTGTATACAAAGGAGATCGATAATTATCAGTAAAAGAAATGCAACCTAATCATTTATATTTTTTAAATATTATCAACCCAATAGAAAAAATGAAATAATCAAAATTAACTTTAATTAGAAAAAAAAATGATTGGGCATATAATAATAATGAACTAATTTAATTTTTTGGAAAATAAGCTTCCTTCATATATTTTATTAGTTAACCCAATATATCACGAACATTTATTTTGACTATGGAAATCAACTGAATGACTAACGTAATCGATATGTGTATTCAACTATTGTTTTGAAGATAGAGAGGCCACAAAACCTAAACATTTTAGATGTATAGGTTTAACTAACAAAATAAATTAAGGAATTCTATCTGTCAAAAATTAAACTAGAGTGAAAAGGACTCCTCATGAAATTGATAAGATACAAATAATTTAAAGTTTATATTTTGAATAATATTAATGCTGCATGCCTTGGTTTGTAAAATCATCGCATAACCAATATGAAAATATTGGTTCTTTTTAAAGCATTTTTTTTTTTTTAAGGGTAGACCTAAGATATATTTTTAATTACCATAGTAAAAACATATTTAATTGTTAATAAAGAGGATTGTAAATCATAGTCAACTAAGTAATAAAAAATCTATTAAAAATTGAATAATAAAAATAACTGCCATGGTGTTAAAAAAAACTACTACACATCTGAAATTGTATACAAATCTAACATTACTTTTTCTAATCAATAAATGTAATATGATTAAACCGTAAATTCAAACAAAACATAAATGTAGCAATAACACAACCATAATTCCCTATTGATATGCTTAAATCAAGTATAAGTCAACTAAAAAGTAATGTATTTAAAAATGATAACAAAAGTTACATGAAACTGTTCAAGACAGTGCATATCTTGCCGATCAACAGCAGGCCAAGAATGATTCCAATTGATCAGGTTTATTTAACAGTTGCATTTATTTTTTGTATAGAAAATTAAAATCGTGATAAATAAAATGTGGCAACAAGTTGCATTAACATCAAGGATTTTAACAAAGTTTTATTAAAGGAATAAAAACTAAATAAGTCAAAATGTGAAAACAGAGATATTAATAAACCAAACATATAAATACATATCAATTTATTTTTACTTTAAACCTATAAAAAGAAAAACAGAGAAATAATCTGTCCCTGTTTCTCTTCAACATTCTAATATGTTTCATTTGTTTGATAATTTTACTGATTGATATTTTAAAATATCAATTAAATTCAACACAAAAAATATGCTTCAACTTCTGAAAAAATAAACTCTCTTTTATCTGGTGCTCCCAATAGAAGTAAATTTATGTAAGGCAATTATTATATTATATCCAAAATATAAGTATATAAATATTATTTGTATATTAGTAAATAATATTAAATTTATCAAAACAGAATTTTAATTAATAGAATAATTATTAATACTTTCAAGGCAGATGCCATTCTGAAATGCATTTGTGATTCGCCCACTTACCGATAACATTCTTGAATATTTATGATGAAGACAATTTTCATCATTAAAATTATTATTTTTATTTAGATAATTTTTTTTCAATTTATTAAAAAATATTATTAATTAACTAATTAGAAAAACCTTGATATGGTATCCATTTTTTTTTTAATTTTAAGTGATAGTATATATCCATTACAGACATTAGTCCTGGTTACACCAGATACAGGAGGGTCTACTATATATAAACAAATTTCAAACAATAGTGCAAAATGAATAAATTAATGACTTTTTTTATTAACTACAAATAAGCATGAATACATTTTTTTGTATCAGTTTGAAAATGATTAAAATGGAGATCTTTATCAAAACAGCAGTATATAATATGAGCAGAAGTACATAATATAAGCAATAATGATTTCAAAATCACATAAAAATACTACTGACATTTTTTTAAAACTATGGTTTAAGTTTTTCTTTTTCAAATATGATTTTTCGACAGAGTTTATGACAGTTGTGCGGAAAAACAAATATCAGAATAAATTTAATGACACAAATGAACATAATAGAAAGTTCAATATTTTGTTATGTATATATAAATTTATTTCCTAGTCTATTTTCAGAATGATAAGCTGCATTAAAATTGATAAACTCAATTAAAAAATTTTATATCTAAAAATATATGATTATTATTATATTCCTAATAAGATCTAGTAACAAAACATTAAAATTGCACAACCTATGTTAGAACTCCAATAAAATAATATGCAAACAAAAAGTTATTTGTTATCTAAATAAATAATAAAAATTTAGACTGCAAATAGTTAAAATAAGTTTTAGCAAAAGTAGCTAGAATAATAATTCCTAATAACTATCAGTTCAGGCCTATAACAAAAAAACTAACTGATAATAAAATGTTTTAATGATGATCATTCATATTTTCACATAACTGAATACTGTCAGATTGCTGTGATTGATAGATATATTAATTTTAAATTCAAGCAAATGAAATGAAAATATTAACACATTTATAAAAAATTTTACAACCAATAATTATAAAGATGTTTAAAGTAATAGGAAGACACATAAAATTTATCAGTCGGACTAACAATATAATCAACAAAACCAAAAAAAAAAAAAGAAAGACGAAGACAAAAAAATACAAACAAACAATTTTAAGTACAACAAATTAACAAATAATTAAAAATGTAAAATTTTAAACATATATTTTTTAAAAGGATCCAAATAAATTAAACAAGACTTAAATATTATACTGGTCAACATTCTCTCACTCTTTAGTTTACATGAATAAACACGCGCAAATATCCACATATAAATTCATTTCATAATAAAGTTTATACCAATGGCCGGATTTAATAATCTATAACAAATTTTATTTATTAAAGAACATTCAATGTGAATGACAGTCTTAGATAAAAAGACTTACAATTACCTATATAACATTTCTAAATTGTTTAAATACATGATATTCAAGCCCTAATCATGATTCAGGATTTAAGCCTGATGGCTGATTATGATAGAGTCCTGAGTATTTACATTTACATTATGGTAACTATATACAAATATATACAACAAAAGAGTGTATTACAGTGGAATGTCATATTTTACAAGAAAATAAATATAGATGTTATAAAAACATATAAATAGTGTTTAAAAGACAAACAGTGTATAAATTATTGGTCATGTATCATAATTAGAGAAAACCAAATTATCAAGAACATAAATAAACAAAAGAAAGCTGTGCTGTGAAATATAGTTTTAAAATATGAAAAAGTGGAGAAAATGAATAAATTATGAAATAATTACATAGCAATGTTAAATTGAAAATATATTTTAAACTAAAAAGAGAGAACAACAAAGAACTTAAAGCAACACAAAGGATATGAGTCTTGTGGCAAATATTAGGAATCCATACTTACCAGCATCAAACTTTTTATTTATTTATGTTTATAAATATTATAAACAGACAAAATACTTTTATATATATATATATCGGTTTATAATATTGATATATGAGTCATTCTTCCATTTGGCACGAAATTAGAATTTTCAATTTCACAAAAAAAAGGGAAGTGCAAACCGATTTTTTTTTCATGATTGCTTCAAGATTGGGTCCTAATCTACCGATAAAGCATTCCTTCATAAAAATAAAAGTAGATGTATTTAGATTATCCTCCGTTTGACGGGAACCTCCTGCTATTTGCAAACTATAAAAAATAAATATATATAGCCTTTTCAGACTAGGAGTATAAATAAATCTATGGACCAGAGGAATTATAATTTTTTGTGTTGATAACTGATTCCGTTATTACTCATAAAACTTAATAGCTCATATCACCAGAACTTAACAGGAAAAAAAAATTATTCCTATGATCAAAATATAGTTGAACTCCACACTCAAAGTGTCTAGTTTAAACTGGTATCAGTCGGAATATAAGAAATTTCACACTGAGGTCATAATCTCCGAGGGAAATGATTTTGTATGTTTGGCAGAATGGCCCATATATAGGTTGGCACAAAAAGAATGATCACTTTTGAAATAAATAAAACTTATAAAAGTGTTAACATTTATTTTATTTACAAATATGAATTCAGTAGTTTACCCAATTTCAAACATGTGGTTAAAAATAGAAAAATACCATTTATGTACGGAAAACTACTTTGAAAATGGATAGTCAGTAGGGAGATAAGAAAATGTCATCGAAAGTATGTGACAGTCAGATTATCCAGACTGCCTAGAACTCAGGGTTCATATAGAAACAGCAGTGTGATGAAATTTATGAATAACTAAGAGAGAATTTGAATGAGATTACATAAAGAATGATGCCACCAATCAACCACGATTGTCTATACATGAACAGAATTATTTTCATTTCAACTATATTGCATAGTACATAAATTTAAATTTAAAAAAAAATCATGTGATAATGATAGAAGATTAATTTATTTCAAGAATGATCATTCTTTTTTTTAGTACATTACATATATACTTATTAGGATGAAAACAAATTGTCAGGATTTACAGTCAAGAATTTTTATCTGGTTAGCCGATCTTTCAACCTTGAACATTGAGTTCTTGTCCCGACTCCCAAAAGATAGCCCTGAGGATGACCCACATGTTTAGGTCGAAACATCGGCTAACCTAATAAAAAGTCTTGACTGTAAACCCTGAGTTATGTTTCATCCTAATAATTGATCGATAGACTAATTACCCATCTCTAAAATATATACTTATTAATTTGTTTTTTTTTTTTTACTGAGAAATATATCACACTAACTGCAATAAGAATTTAAGTTTTATATAAAATAACTTAATAGAAGTAAGGACAGTTATTGTATCAGAAAAATCACAGTATTTATTTTAAAAATAATGCTCAATCAATTAATGCAATAACCTAATTATCCAAAACAGAGTATAGCAAAATATTTGGTTAATTTATTGGATATTTAACTAGCAAAGTCTGGGAGATTTTAATTTCAAACATAGAGGATAGTCTGAATGAAAAGGAAATCATTTATTTTTATTTAATTTTGAAATTAATTCTTAGGGGCATAATGGATATGCTTTTTTGAAATGATCAAACTTAAAACTTTTTAAGGGCCATTTTAGCTTCCAATTTTCAACATCACTACTTTTTGTCTTACTCAGAGGGAAAAAATGTGATATTTTGATGCAAATTTCTGATGAATATTCATCTCAAAAAAAAAAAAAATTAATACTTCATCTACATCCATAACATCTTTCCTCCAATAATCATTTTTCAGCTGCACTGCAAAAAAACTCTGTTAATTAGTTTCTTTTATGAATGAATATTCATATTCATAAGAAATATAATTGCATGAAAATATGTAATAAACAACAAAACAATTGCTTTAAAGAAAATCTTAAACTTATTGCAGTTCATTCAAGTGATAAATTCTTATATAAAATTTATTATAACTTAAGTATATAATCAACACTGCGGATATAACTATTTAATATATATGTTAGAAATTATCGGTTTTCAGATTCCAAAATTTGATATTATTTTTTAATGATCTAAATCATAATTTTAATGTAAATTGCATACCAATCCCCCAACATGCGAGATAAACATTTATCTCCTGTAAAAAAAAGACAAGAGATCTACAGTAATTACCTCCTTCCACCAATCATAGAATGGCTATGATTTCTAAAAATAATCTCGAGAACGAGAAGATTGAGGGAAACGGGGTTTGACTCCACCTCTATTAGCATTATTTGTGACAGGTCTGCGCACGTTTCTAATTTCTCTATCCATTTCCATTTCTTCGAGTCTCTGAGTAAGAGTAAGTTTTTGTTGAACTGCTAATCTAAGCAATTGATTCAATGTTTTCTTCTCTTCTTCTGCAGCAGTTAACTGCCTTTGGAGTTCATCTACTTGTGTTACATATTCTTCACACCTTGCAGCAAACATAGCTCGAAGACCTACAAATAAAATAATAATTTTTTTCAGTCTTATAATTTAACAATAAGGAGCAAATAGTCAAAATATGTTGCATTGCCAAATCTTTGTTTACGCCATTTAGATTGTTTGTTTGTTTATTAGAGCTTCAAGATAAAAGTTTGAACCCCTACAAAATACAAATTAAACAAAAAAAAAAAAAAAAACTAGCTGCAACAATCAGAAAAGAAAACTGATTTAACATTAAATTGATTTTAAATAACATCAAAACAAAGAAATAAAATTAATAATAATTCAGTAAAGATACAAAAACTAATAAAATTGCAAAGCTACTCAACTGTGTTGTATGATACCACAGTATGATCAAGTATGGGCATAACTGATATTTTATCATTTTCAACAGAGGTGTATGGATAAAAATGAACTAGTTTAAAACTACAATTTCCTTTATCTCCATTATTAAATGGTCTTAAATAAGGTCTACTTGTTCTCTTTAACTTTTGATAGCTAACTTATTTTCCAATATTATCAAATACCTTTCACCATCCTTATAAAATGTATTTGTTGGTTAACTAACATTCTTTATATAAAACAATTTAATATATCATTTTATTTATTCATATATCAAATTTTATTATTTAGTCTCATGCAAAAAAATGATAGAAAACAGCAAAATTTTTACACATGCTAAATAGTTACTACAACATGTTAGTTACTTTAATAGGATGTTCAATAAAAAATGACCATTTATCCTTCATAAACTATTTCATAGCTCAATATTTTTGTAATAATAAATAACTTTATAACAAGAAAATAATTATTGGAAAACATTTCCAGATTTATATACAGCTGATTCACTCAGCCAAGAGGGTTTCATTATTACTAAAATAAGTTACAACTGAGTTTTATTAATATTATTATAATAAGTTACAAGATATATTTATATATGTTAATAATTTTAACTACAGATTTTTATGGGGCAGACTGGCAAGTGATGTTTTCTTCACAACTACCTCCTCAACTTACTCTCCTTCTTCTATTTATGCTTCATTATCTCTTTTGAACCAAAAAGATGATTTACAACCAGTTCATTGCTCAACATAGTCAGTCGACACCTCTTATTAAACCTATGCTATAACTATCTACACCAAACAAATTTAAAGCTATAAAGGCAATGATCAATAAACACCTAACTTTCTTTAAAAACCATATCAGAAAGACGAGAAATAAGTTACCTGAACTAAATAGAATTCTTGTCATATATTTCATATAACTTTCCTCACATACAGATTAACACCATTGATTAATGGTACATTTTCTTTAAAGAAAAAAATTATAATTTTTAAAAAGTTGGAATGGCAGCACTTTTTTTTTTTTTAATAGACAGCTCTCTGTGTGATGACAGTGAGGGATCAAGCTGTTGCTTGAAAAATAGCTAATAACTGTGAAATTATAATAAAACCCTTAGCGAAATGGAAAAGGTTTAATGCTACTACCACAAATAATATCACTTAAAATATTAGTTTGTTACCGAACCACATAACTCAATATAACCATATCATCCCTCTGGATGCTATCATTTCAATTAAAATAACAGGCTATATGCCCTATACTTTCACATATTGTAGCATCTGAAATTCAATAACTGTTTTATCCTGTACTGATTTTCAAATATCATAAGGTGCTCTTCCACCTTCCAAATAAGCAGCATTGTTCCATAACCAGAAAAAATGCAAGGAAGGATAATAGTTTTATAAACTCTAACTTTCAAGTTTCTAGAAAGTAGGTAGGAACAAAGTCATTTTTTAACTGAGAAATAATAAGTATTGCCTATCTTCAATCTTGCCATCATTCCCTCCTAAATTTAATTTTATCAGCTACTATATCTTCTTAGTACCAGTACCAGATCATTAGCATACGTATATTCGACTAATTACGATTAATCAAAATATTTCGTGACATGTTGAAAGGAATAGAATTCATCAGTAACAATTACAATCCCTCCTCAGACCTGTTTGAGTAAGAATCAATTAGTATAGATTATTTGCATTTTCCCAAATTTTTTGAACAAAAAAAAGTTGGAAACCTGAGCTTTCCCACAGACCAGTGTTTCAAATGCCTCCCGCAGTGCTACATCCTACGGTATGTTTTGAGTTTTATTGTGATTCTTTCCTTAACACACCTATCCTTCAACTATACACCTTATTATTATCTTCATGCAGCCTACTATTCCATTACCGCTTTCAAAAGACTGAATGTCAATTGTCATCTATATATAGTACAACTTGTTTTTGTTTCTTTATCATCATAACCTTGTTTTACATTTATTCTTACATTTTAAAGTTCTCTTTTAAAATTATTGTTTCCTTATAGAGTTATTTATACTTAATTATCTATCCTAACGATATTACACTAATGTTACCCTATTAATCTTTCAATTTCTTCACTTCTTAAGCTTTAGTCCCGTTATCTGTTTACTTACAATTAAAGGTAACCTCCACTTGCTTGTTATCCACTGATATCTTATTATTATGTTATCTTATTATTATTTTAACTTTACTGTAACATTACTTATTCAATTTTCAATCTATTTATTCGTTAACATTCATTTTCTTTATCTGCTAACCCACAGTTATCTAATGTAATCTCTATTAGTTTGTTATACACTTATTCCTTATCTTTTATCGCAATCTGTTTACTTTTAACTTACATGCTATATTCTCCTTTATTTTTATTTTTATTCATACTTATTTTCCATTTATTTGTATCTTCTACATATATAATACTTAATATTTAACTACATTGTCACCCACTATATCTCTGATATCATCTTTTATTTCTGTATCTGACAACTTCTTCTTATTTTATATCTACTTATATTATTCTCAACATTTTTTGTATCATTTGTAGCCCTGAAGACGATCTGCAAAGTGGGTCGAAACGTCGGCAAAATTAAAATAATTACTATATTTTAATTTAGTATTTATTTTGACCGCACCCCCGACTAACTTCTTCTCATAAAAATAATATAATATTGCCACTGGATGAGCCAAAATGTTGGTAGTTGGATCATTTAGCACAATTAACTGACTTTAATACGAATGTCAACTAAATAAAGAAATTATATTCGACTGAAGAGCAGTCATTTTTTGCAGTACACCTCTGTGTAACTAATTGGACTCGATAATACCTAAATATTAAATTCTATATCAAGCATCTTTCCATAAGATTCTGAATTTCAAAAGTACACAGAAGAGTCAGTTTGGATGGGTTCTGATTCACTATATTACAATTTTATATACGTATATGATCTCATTCATATTTTAGTAAATCATATGGGAAACTGATTTACAAAATTCCAAAAACTACATGAAGACATGAAACTCTTACTTGAATGGTTTCTAATCCTTCCAAGATGTTCATAGATTCTAAACACAAAATATTTGAAAACAAGATACAGAAAAAGAAACAACCTCAATTAAAAAAACAAAACAATAATTATAAAAACTTAACTGTAAAATTAACATGTCATACTTAATCTGATAATATCAATCTAATTGTAGTGTTAACAGTATCTGATAAACATTCATATCAGTTTATCCTGATAATTTTTTTTATATTTTTAATACCATTCAAATGTAACAATAGTCAGCTACGATGCACTTTATATGCAATATCAGCAAAAACTCCTAAACAATCCCTTTTAAAATTTTATCAGTAGTAAAAAAAAACAATATGTGCATGTGTGCATCATCTTGATATTTCTAATAAAGACAGTTTAAGCTGATTTGCTTCATAAAATGATTTTTTCCTAGAAAATAGATTAAAGTTTTGGAAACATTCAAATTAATCAAAGGACCAAAACAATATAGTAAAACAAAAGCTTACTAGAAAATGTAGCAGCATCTTCCTTTAAAATTCTTAATTCATTTCTTAACTTCATCATTGTTTCTGATACCACTGCTTTTTCGTTGTCATATTTTGACTTCAAATTACTCAAAGCAAACTCAGCAGTATTTTTGTTGGATTTAAGTACAGTACGCAATGTAGCAATTTGTTCTCTTTTAGTACTAAGCAGAGATTTAAGTTTTATAACTTGTTCTTGAAGCTCACAAATTTCTTCTTGTCCCATACTAGTCAATGAAACTAAAAAAAAAAGTAAATAAATAAGTTTAAAAAATACACAATCAAATCAAAAATAGTTTTTAAACATGCTTTCCAATCAAAACTATTTTCAATCAATAACTCATAAATAAAAAAGCATTAAGCTGTATTTAACATATTTGTGTATAAAAGGTCTTTTATGCTGATTAATAATTTTTGTTTAAGGGAGAAAGGGTATATGTATATATATTCTGGTGGCCTGAGAAAGAGAGGAAAATTACTTAAATATCAACTGAGATTATATTATTCCCTCTCATCATAAGATAATACATAGTAGAAATAAGTTCTATCTTGATAGTGTACCATATCATTTGTTGTTAATTAAGAAAAAAGGAAAAGTATTTAGTCATTTATTAAAATGCAAAATAAAATCATAGAGATAAACAACTTATAGCATTATATGAAAAAAAAGAAAGGAGAAAAACATTAAATTCAGAGGATATAAACCAACGGCCTTAGAACTTCAACAGGATAACAAGAGAGCCTTACTTTTTCTGAAAACACAATGATTTTTCAGAAATATTGCAATAAAATATTTTATATTTATCAAATTAGTAGAACAATATGTATATTAAGAATTAACAGAAAATTCTTTGAAAATAATTTTAAATTAATATTTATGTTAATGAAACTAACTATATAATGCTATAAAGTTAAGTTAAGTTAAGAAATTTATAAAGTTAAGAAATTAATGCATGCATTTCTATTGTAATTTTATGTATAATCAATAAAGATCAATAATATAAAAAAAATAATAATAAAGAGGAAAACAAAAACTTACGATCAGTACAGTTTCCAGAACCAGCTTTTATTCTTTCAATAGTATGGTTGACAGCAATTTTCAGATGTTTGACTTGATCAAGAATAGTTTCAACATTTCTTGTCACTGCAGCAGCATCTGGTAAAGCATCAGTATTTTTCTCTTTCTTTTCTTTGTCAGCTGAATCATCACCTAAAAAATCATAACAATAATAAATTAAACATCCTATAATTAAAATTTTAAATTGGTTAGACTTAAGAGAGTTGTAATGACTGATTGGAAAAAATAAGATGTAGTTAATAGAAAAAGGGTTTGACTAGCAATATCCAATGATTGTTAATTAAGAAGAAGGCTAACAAATATTTGACACAGAAAAGAAAAGAAAGAAGATCTAAAATTAATAAATGAGTTTTTAGTTAAATCAAAAAAAGACTTTTAGAATTGAGTAAATGTTTCAAACAAAAGATTCTAATCTCAAATAAGATTTGGCTAAGACAAGCACACACAATTCACTGTAATGGGTAAAGAGAGAAAATCACAGAAATGTGGAAGCTATTTCAGTGAATTACTCAGCTTTGGCTTTGGATAGTCTCAATAAATACAATTAGATCAATTACAATATGTGAGAAGAGGATATAACCTAAAAATATAATAACAGTACATAAATAGAATAATGAACTAAAACACCTATGTATCTACACCACTTCAATCAAGAAATATTTTAAAAGTAGATAATGGAAGGACGTCCACCGTAGACCATGACTGCAGCCGGTAGAAAATGTCAAGGCTGAAATTAGGCTCCTAGGTATGGTTTAATGCAAAAAAAACAATGTTAAACATTCCCACTTATAATATAAACATTAACTGAATAGAAACCTCTTTTTCCTTAACACCCTTTTACAGCCTTTAGCAAAAGGGGAATAACACCCTTTTACAGCCTATAGCAAAAAGGGAATCTCAGGTAGTTTTCTCAATTACTAGGGTGAACATAATGATATATCAAAAGAAATTTTTAATATAAAACTTTCAATTCAATGAGTTCTTCTGTTTCACAGACAGCGCAGTGTGGGCAGGTGTGTTATTGAGGTAAAAAAACCAATCTCCTGTGCTCAAAAGATACTCCAAACATCTTAGAGCATTGATCAATGGTTTGGTGACAATCTTCACAAACAAGGGCATTGACTTTTTTTCATTTTTGTTATTGGTTTTTGTGGTTGAGGGGTATGCATAACGAGGTTGGTCTCCAATCGACTTCTCTTTATTCTTGAAACTTAAAAAACACTCGTACTATAAGCTGTTCTAAGCACCACAAGAGTTTTCACGGGCATTTTCCCCAACAGAAAAGAAACAGCCACTCAGCCATCTCACGTTTTTGCCACGATGTAAAAAGTTATTTTATTAAATACATTCTCATAGATGTATTGATGCACTCACTGCGACAAATTTTGTAGATTGGCTCAGAGAGAGTTCCTACATAGAATCTCCCACTAAATCACCAAATTCCCTACTTGTCCTCCTGACCACAGCTCCATTCCCTTAAAAACTTTTGGGTTCTCCCTCGTAATTCAAACAATTACTTCAGTCATAAAGATGTAATTGCTGCACAAAAACCTGGTAAAGCTAAGCAGTGCTCTGATGTGCATTGACCAATGGCAAAAAACAATCAAATGATTGAAGAAATTGAAGGTTAGAATAGAAAACCAAGATAGATCACAAACCCTTAGTAAGCAAATAGTAACAAGGAAAGGTTTGGTAGAGGACAGGGTGCCCAGGAGGAGTTTTTATGGCACTATTTGAGCGAACAAAATTTTTGATGGGGGCACATTTTTACAGGGTTTTAAATTTTCGAGGGTGTAAATTTCGACTGGGTTATGATTTTTTGAAATGAAAATTTTCAAATCAGGGGAAAACAGGAAAGCATAGAACCAATCACTAAAAGTATATGACCTATGATTTTTTAAATTCTACATTAGTTTGCACTGATTTTAAGAAGAGGAGAGCAATAAAATATCTTTGGAAGAAGAGGGGAGGGGAAGGTTTATGGGCCATTGACCTTGAGGGGAGGGGGATTGGTAAAGGAATAATCCTCTTCGTGATATAATATATATATAAAAAGTTCTATGAGGGTAGAACAGAAATAGCAGGAGAAAACTAATACACATTCCCTCTCATATGGATAAATAAAAATTTAATTTGTGTTCTTATAAATAAACAATTGGTGGTGAGATGTTTTAAATGTTCACACATGTAAGAACCATCAACAAATAACTGATATTCCACAATTAAGAATTATTATAGTACTGTGATAAGAAAGATGTAGATTTAGCATAACATTAATAATTAGAATTGAAATTTATAAAATTATTTAAACCATGTAATTACAGGTATCTTTGAGAATTAGGGATCAACCGATACCGAAATTAGTATTGGCATATCGACCTTACGGCCGACATCAAAATCTGATATACCAATATATTTATTTTTCTTAATAAGAATGAGAATGAATTTAGAAAAATGAAGGTAATGTTTATGCTTCCTATAACAATGAGTTTAGTAAATTCTGAGAGCAATGATTCTTTATTCAAGGAAGTTAATTGTGATAGATGGTTAATTTTTCATAGTTTCACAGAATTAAAATATAATAATATGTTAAATAATAACTTACCAAATCCCGATAAAATAAGGCTGATATATCGGTCTCAACTCAAATTTCTATTAGATATTGGTATCAGATCACATTTCTATACAGCTCTATTTCTAGACAACTGCTTGACACTTTTATTTAGCAATAAGGAGAATTTGTAAAGTGACTTAATAAATTACAGTAGAAACTGTGTTTACATTGAGGGGGGAGGGAGAAAAAAGCTGATATATCGGTTTTTTGAGTATCGTTATGGATAAAAATTTATAGACAGGTCAATTACTGGATGATTTATTGATATGCTCATTCAGCATTTAGAAGAAGTTTCAAAGCAACACTCTATGGGACTTGACAGATAGGAATGAAAGGCCAATAAGTTGATATATTAGTATATTGCTCTTTTATTGACCGAAATTTCTACAAAGGCCAATACCTAAATGTTCGTTTAGCAATAAGGCGGATATTCTATGTGAAACTAGAAATCTTGAGAGAAAGAAAAAAAGTCCAATATATTGGTATATTGATTGGCCTTTGAAATATCGACATCAGCCAAATTTTTAAAAGAAGTAGCAAAATTAAAAAGTACCTTTTAACAAATAATTTATTTAAGATATAAAATTTTGAATTTTAATACAAACTTTTCTTGCAATTTTCAATGATTGTTAAAAAAGTGTTTATATTTATATGTTTTAATGAAACTGGAAATAATATATTATTTTAAATATCATAATTGTGGGTTGATGAGTCAAAATAAAAATAGTAAAAATAAATAATAATATTTATTTTTACATTTGATGACATTTCGGCTCGAAGTTCAGGCTTTCATCAGGACTGATCAAACCTTAAGTGTCGAAAGAACAGAAATATATAGCTAATAAATTATGGTCTCTGAATATATTAATTTATTACAAATCATAATTAAAAACAATATTGCTGTTCTTTCCACATTTTTGGTTTGATGAGCCCTGATAAATGAAGGCCTGAACTTTGGGCTGAAACGTCGACAAATGTAAAAATAAATATTGTTATTTATTTTTGTTACTTTTATTTTGACTGATCATCCCAACCATCCTTCTCTTTAATCATAAATATTATATTTTTTAATAATATAATGTTTTATTATTACATAATAAAATAGGAGCTAACTGAAGTTTTACCTGAAGTTGAATGTTTTTCATGATCAAGTAAAACTCGGGTAGGAGTTTCTCCATTAACAGTGCAAACATGGTGATATAACTGAGCTAATTCATCAGAAACATTTGTTAAATCATTATGGGCTTGTTCCAAACAAGAGTTGGCATCAGTAGTTACATTTGTAAGATTTTTAATTTCATCTTGTAATTCAGCAATTTTAAGATCTGTACTATGAAGCTAGAAAAATAAACATACTGTAAATAGATAGCTAATAAAGTAATTATGGTCTCTAAATATATTAACTTATTACAAATCATAATTATAAACGATATTGCTTTACTTTTTCTCAAATTACTAAAGCACTTCCTTTATTCAGAAAATAATATATATTAGTTTAATTTTTGTGACACATTAATTTATTACAAAATTGTAAACAAAAATTTAATTCCACTGGTGAAGAAACATCGTATTGTACGATAAAAAGACAAACAATAAGTAATAAACAAGTATTATTATTTACATTAAAATTAATATTTTGTTTAAATATACCGTAACAGGAACACCTGAGATAATAATTTATTTAAGAGTGATATCTAATACTTATTATTCCAAATAGTTTGATTAAGAAATTTTGCATTTCTATAATATTATATTTTATTTATGATTTTATCACTATCAAAATTTAAGAGTAATTTTAAACATTCTATAACAAAGAAACTCAAAATTTGTAAGGTCTATTTATAGGAAATTCTTATACACTATAAATGTGTACCAATTGATTAAAATACACTATATAATAACCTTATTCTTTTGATTAGTTATTTCCTGCCGAAGTTGTGTAGTAATATCATTGCAATTCAAATTGTTTTCCATTTGTTCCACTTCTTGGCGAATATTTTCAATTTGACTTGAAGTTAGCCAAAACCAGTTTTGATATTGATTTAAGGTAGCGCTGTCCTATAAAATTTAATTAATTGGTTAATTAAATAAAACAAGAGCATATCAAATCTTAAAAAAGATCAATAAGTCATTCTAAACATAACCCAAAATCTCAATCAAGATATTTTTTTTTTAATTTTTATTTATTAATGATATTTACAACTGTATTAAAGAAATACAATTAAGATAATAAATATTGTTCTTAGAGAACTGTATAAATCTAACAAACGTCTCCATATCCAGTAGTCTACTATTAACATAATTAAAATAAAGACCCAGATATAATTAATAGATTTCAAAAAGCAGTGAGAAGAAGGGTTTGGCTGTGAAGGAAACTGCTGAGTTCTTAACAGGAATAAACATTTTTTAACTAAGACCATGTCTAACATCAAGAAGTTCTTGGGATTCTGTAATATATAATCGTGATTGAAAATAATCTTAGAACCAGGATCAGCAAAGATATCTATAAAGAAATAATACTCAGTAATAATTTCATTAATTGAAGGTCTAAGACATTTTAGGTAAACATTAAATCAATGCAAGTATTGTTCATCATTCTATTATGAGTTTTAATATAACTTTCCAAGCATGAAGTCAATAAAAAATTGTAAGATTAAACTCCAAACATGAGTGATCACATAAGACATTAAAACCTAATCATAACCTCTAGAATAATGAGAGGTGTAGAAATATCTGACTCAGTAGAATCTCAATGAGTTTTTCTAATACTTTAATAGTAATAGACAGAATCTAATTTCTACTATCATGAGGCACTGCTGTATGTATGAGGAAAGATTTTAACTTCTAATTTCTGAAATATAGAAAGCAATGTTTATTTTCAAAATCAAATAAATTGTTTGAAAGCTCTAACATCATTCAATTTTTAAATGAAATCACCATTATAATCCATGAATTTTCATGTAAACTGCCATGGCCTTGGTATGTATGTGTAAAAAAAAAATACCATCAACCCTTTGAAGTAGCAATTAACCTCTTCTCTTCTTTCACTTCATCGTCAGTGCAGAATCCACTAAAATGTCAACCCTTTCCATTAACTATCTTCCACTTCTTCTTAATCATGACTGGGCCTTGACCTCCTTTAAACGCTCAACACCATTTAAGAATTTGTAATTGATTATAAACTTTTCAAAATATACTTCCATCAATATCTGACCCCGTCCATACAATTAAGTAGACCTGGGCAGAATTTATTTGAAAAATATTCCCGGAATAAATCCCTAAGTAAACCTCGATAGTTATTTCCGAAATAATTTATTTCATGAAATAACCTGACCATTATTTCCGAAATGATTATTTCGGGAATAAATTATTTCAGGAATAACGATATCTGAAATGATTATTTCAGGAATAATGTGAAATCTGAAATAATCATTCCGATCGACTTTTAGATATAATCAATATCCCGGTCGACTGTTATGTTTTCGGGGGCACTTATTATAAAAATAATGTCAAATTTGAGATTGCGCCCCCCCCCTCCACACTCCAGCGTCGGCTTTTTGTAATTTTTCGGATTTAATCCATATCAGGGTCGACTATTATGTTTACGGGGGCGCTTTTTATGAAAATACGGTCGAATTTAATATTGCGCCACCCCCTCCCCACCCCCATCGACTTTTTGTAACTTTTCGGATTTAATCCATATCAGGGTCGACTATTATGTTTTCGCGGACGCTTTTTATGAAAATACGGTCAAATTTAATATTGCGCCACCACCTCCCCACCCCCATCGACTTTTTGAAACTTTTCAGATATAATCGATATCAGGGTCGACTAGCATGTTTACGGGGGCGCTAGTTATAAAAATAATGTCAAATTTGAGATTGTGTCCCCCCACCCTCTCACATCAACATTTTGTAACTTTTCTGAAATAATCGATATCAGGGTCGATTATTATGTTTTCGGGGGCGCTAATTATAAAAATAATGTCGAATTTGATATTGCGCCACCCCCTCTCCACCCCGGATAGACTTTTTGTAACTTTTCATATATAATCGATATCAGGGTCGACTGTTATGTTTTCGGGGCCGCTAATTATAAAAATAATGTCAGATCTGAGATTGCGCCGTTCCACCCTCCCGCATCAGCTATTTCATGCATTCTCAAATTCGAGCAAATTTTCGTAATAAGCTACCCTGAAAAATAGGCGACCTTGATATCGATTAAATCAGAAAAGTTACTAAAAGTCGATTGAGGGGGGAGAGGAGGGGGCGCAATCTCAAATTTGACCGTATTTTCATAATAAGCTACCCCCAAAACGTAATAGTCGACCCTGATATCGATTATATCTGAAAAGTTACAAAAAGTCGATGGGGGGTGGGGAGGGGGTGGTGCAATATCAAATTCGACAGTATTTTCATAAAAAGCGCCCCCGAAAACATAAAAGTCGACCCTGATATCGATTATATCAGAAAAGTTACAAAAAGTCGATGGGGGGTGGGAAGGGGGTGGTGCAGTATCAAATTCGACAGTATTTTCATAAAAAGCGCCACCGAAAACATAAAAGTCGACCCTGATATCGATTATATCAGAAATTTACAAAAAGTCGATGCGGGGTGGGGAGGGGGTGGTGCAATATCAAATTCGACAGTATTTTCATAAAAAGCGCCCCCGAAAACACAAAAGTCGACCCTGATATCGATTATATCAGAAAAGTTACAAAAAGTCGATGCGGGGTGGGGAGGGGGTGGTGCAATATCAAATTCGACAGTATTTTCATAAAAAGCGCCCCCGAAAACACAAAAGTCGACCCTGATATCGATTATATCAGAAAAGTTACAAAAAGTCGATGTGGGGTGGGGAGGGGGTGGTGCAATATCAAATTCGACAGTATTTTCATAAAAAGCGCCACCGAAAACATAAATGTCGACCCTGATATCGATTATATCAGAAAAGTTACAAAAAGTCGATGGGGGGTGGGGAGGGGGTGGTGCAATATCAAATTGGACAGTATTTTCATAAGAAGCGCCCCCGAAAACACAAAAGTCGACCCTGATATCGATTATATCAGAAAAGTTACAAAAAGTCGATGCGGGGTGGGGAGGGGGTGGCGCAATATTAAATTCGACCGTATTTTCATAAAAAGCGCCACCGAAAACATAATATTCGACCCTGATATCGATTATTTCAGAAAAGTTACAAAAAGTTGATGTGAAAGGGTGGGGGGGAGCGCAATCTCAAATTTGACACTGTTTTCATAAAAAGATACCCCGAAAACATGATGCATATTGGTAATTTTTTTATGTTATTTCAGAACAATGTTATTTCTGAAATATTTATTTCGTGATTTTATGCAATAATTTATTTATGAAATAAATAATTCTGAAATAATAGTTATGAAATAATTTATTTCAGAAATAACTCATTTCGAAATAATTTACATTATTCCAAAGAATGTTAAAATAGTGAAATAATTATTTCAGAAATAAATTCAGAGTTATTCCATCGAGATTATTTCGTAGACTGTTTGAAATATTATTTCAGAAATAACCGTTATTCCCGAAATAATTCATTCATGGAATAACCATGTGAATTATTTCAGAAATAAATTATTTCAAGAGTGCCCAAGTCTATTAGTGCCCACTATTGGTCATTACATTTAAATGAAAGTCATCAACAACAATTGTGTATCTAAATTTCCAAATTGTAATTCTTCAATACACAATTTTAGGCAAATAAGTCAGTTTCAACTTGAATACTTTTATTTGAACACACAATAACCACTTCACGCTAATTTTGTGATAAATATAATCAATATAAATTTATGAGTGCGGTTGAATAAAACTTGTACAAATGAATGTAATAGCCTTAGCAAGTCATAATTTATCTACACAAACATTTAATTATGGAAAATAAAGGCTGATATTGTGCACAATTTTTGTAATTATCAACTTGAAACTTTTTATTGGAACTAATTATAACTACTTCAAGCTAATTTTTAGGTAAGTGTAATCAATATATATTCAAACAAAACTCAAAAGATGTCACATGTCTCAATTTATAAAACATTCTTTGTTCTTTTGGCGACGTGTGGCATATGTAGATAATACATTCATAGTTACATTGTCAAACAATAATTCCAGGTTTTATTATGTTTTTTTTTTAAATGTTAACACTACAGTGGCAATTTCCTGGATGTATTCATGTCAAAAAGTTACATTACAGCATTAGACCTAGGCAGAATTTATTTGAAAAATATTCCCGGAATAAATCCCTAAATAAACCTCGATAGTTATTTCCGAAATAATTTATTTCATGAAATAACCTGACCATTATTTCCGAAATGATTATTTCGGGAATAAATTATTTCAGGAATAACGATATCTGAAATGATTATTTCAGGAAATAATGTTGTGAAATAATCATTCTGATCGACTTTTTGTAACTTTTCCGATTTAATCGATATCAGGGTCGAGTATTATGTTTTCGGAGGCGCTTTTTATGAAAATACGGTCGAATTTGAAATTGCGCCCCCCACTCTCCCGCATCGACTTTTTGTAACTTTTCCGATTTAATCGATATCAGGGTCGACTATTAGGTTTTTGGGGTAGCTTATTATGAAAATACGGTCGAATTTGAAATTGCGCCCCTCCACTCTCCCGCATCGACTTTTTGTAACTTTTCCGATTTAATCGATATCAGGATCGACTATTAAGTATGTTTTCAGGAGAGCTTATTATGAAAATACTGTCGAATTTGAGATTGCGCCCCCCCCCACTCTCCAGCATCGACTTTCTGCAACTTTTCAGATATAATCGATATTAGAGTTGACTATTATATTTTCAGAGGCGCTTTTTATGAAAATACTGTCAAATTTTGGATTGCGCCCCCCCCCCCCCACATTTTTGCATCGACTTTTTGTAACTTTTCCGATTTAATCGATATCAGAGTCGACTATTATGTTTTCAGAGGCGCTTTTTATGAAAATAATGCCAAATTTTGGATTGTACTCCCCTCCCCCTCACTCACATCGACTTTTTGTAACTTTTAGGATTTAATCCTTATCAGGATCGACTAATATGTTTTTAGGGGCGCTTTTTATAAAAATAATGTCAAATTTGAGATTACGCCCAACCCTACCCTGCCGTATCGACTTTTTGTAACTTTTGAGCTATAATCAATATCAGGGCCGACTGTAATGTTATCGGAGTATCTTTTTTTGGAAATACTGTTGAATTTGAAATTGCTCTGATAAATTGAAAAGAAATATAAAATATTCTACGCCAGTAATTTGTTAAATGATCTATTCGATTTCTTAGAAAATAACTCAAAATAAAATTATGCAAGGTACTGTGATTACTTTTTGTACTCGTCAATTATCATTTTGAATAGTCATTTAAAGTACTTAGACCGCGTGATTATTTGTGTAAAATATTCTGTTATTTGTAGTTTTTGCTCACATTACTTTCTGCCCATCTCTAAACTCAAATCCGACAATATTTTCATAGAAGGCGACTTCCAAAACATAATAGTCGACCATGATATCGATTAAATCGGAAAAGTTACAAAACGTAGAAGCGGGTGAGTGGGTGGGTGCAATCGCAAATTCGACAGTATTTTCATAATAAGCGACCCCGAAAACATAATAGTCGACCCTGATATCGATTAAATCGGAAAAGTTACAAAAAGTCAATGCGGGTGAGTGGGGGGCGGGCGCAATCTCAAATTCGACCGTATTTTCATAATAAGCGACCCCAAAAACATAATAGTCGACCCTGATATTGATTAAATTGGAAAAGTTACAAAAAGTCGATGCCAGTGAGGGGGGTGCGCCCCCCCCCCCCCCCCCCCGCAATCGCAAATTCGACAGTATTTTCATTAAAAGATACCCTGAAAACGTAAATGGCCACCCTGATATCGATTAAATCCGCCTAAGCCTAGGAAACGAAAGAACGCCATTTGAAAAAATGAAATTGCTCTCGGGCACACTCATCCTTGACAAAGATTAATGTGTATCAAACAGCATTAAATAAGAAGCCTAAAGAATGCCTAACCGCAGCAAACGAAATGGTGCATACTGGTAATTTTTTTATGTTATTTCAGAACAGTGTTATTTCTGAAATATTTATTTCTTGATTTTATGCAATAATTTATTTATGAAATAAATAATTCTGAATATAATAGTTATGAAATAATTTATTTCAGAAATAACTCATTTCAAAATAATTTACATTATTCCAAAGAATGTTCAAATAGTGAAATAATTATTTCAGAAATAAATTCAGAGTTATTCCATCAAGATTATTTCGTTGACTGTTTGAAATATTATTTCAGAAATAAATTATTTCAAGAGTGCCCAGGTCTATACAGCATAACTTGAAAATTCTGAAATATATTTTATTTATTATTCTTTTTTTTTTTCTCTAAATAATGATCAAAGAAAATATATTTGTTTTTATATACAGTTCATATATAAAATATAAATAATTTTGCAATTTTTTTTGCTTATTACGCAGTTTCTAGCCAAATAATGGAGTGAGAGGTTGATATTCGGCGAGGAATGGGGAACCAGCTATTAAAGTTATTGGCTATGGGCTGTTCAGTCCTCAGTACAACAATGACTGAGCAAAAAGTACATTTGCATGTTGCATTATGCATAACATGAAGTTTTCAACCTATGAAAGGGTTAAAAACTCAGAAATGTTTAATTAACAATAACAGTTATATTATGATACGTTCTTATCAATCAAATGTGAAATAAAATATCATAAATACCAATGGAGGGTTTAATTGATGTGCTAAATGGTGAAGAGAATTGATGTGATCTGCTAATTTGATGCACCCATTCCTCAAAGCCTGCAACTCAGACTGATACTTTTCAGAAGAAGATTGAGATTCCCTTAATGTTTGGGCAAGAGCTACTTTTTCTGATTCCACCTAGAACATAAAACATTAATCAGTAAAAATATTATTATTATCAACGATTAGAATTTACTCAAGTTCATAATACAGCTCAGTATCACCTGAGCACAATGCTTTCAATTCAACAATAAAGCAAGTAACAAAAAAAAAATCAAATGATTTGTGATTAACCAAACAAAAAGTTATTTAATCCGTAATTTTTCTATATCTGCTAATAGAGCATAATTTAATAGTTAAATAACCCAAGCATTTAAAAAAAACAAAAACTCTTATCTGTTACTTAATTAATGAAATAAATTTATGACAAAATAGATGATAAACATATATATAAATAGGAATAATGTACTAAACAATATTTGATGAAAAATAGAGGGACATAAACAGATATTACTTAACATATTAATATAATTACCTGTTCAAGTTGTTTTTCTAATTTCTTAAGTTCATTTAAATGAATTTCACTGAAAAGGTCAACATGTTTTGAATCAGGGGAAGCAAGGACTGTATTTTGTATGTCATCAAGTCGTTTTAAAACTGGCATATCATCATCATCACTACCCAAAGAACCTTCCTCACCAATTGCTATAAATTTAGTAATATAACAATATATTAATATAACACAATACTTTATTATGTCAAAAATAAATCTAAAACACTAATCACATTAAACAAATAATGAAAATACAAATAAAAAAATAAAAATTCAAGTAAATAAATAACTCATTTGAGAAAAAATAAAAATTAATTTGTATTAAGAGTTTAACAATGCAATATAGGACAAAAAAATTAATTATTAAAGGTCGCACTTGCCTCTCATATTGAAAGCCAAATTGCTTAAACTGTACATGGATTCACTGTTGATACGATGATCTAATTCCTTTTTCATAGCATATTTTGCTTCCCTTTCTGCCTGAAATTAAGTAATAAAAAAAAAAGTAATCAAAATTTGTTAAAATAAAATACATACTGTGTAAAATAACTTAAATAAACATTCACAAATATGTAAGTGAGTAATTTAATAAAATTAATTCAAAAATAGAAATTTAACTAAAAGGGCTAGGTGGAAGGGAGTTTACTTATTGAAAAGACAATTTTTTATTTTAGACATTTTAGAAATTTTTTTAGGATCATTATAAATTATACTACATTCCTTTAAAGTTCAGAAAAATAAAATTTAAAGAAACACAGTGATAATCAATCTATAATTTCTTTATTCTTTTTATTATTATTCTTGTTTTACATATACACTAGCTAAAATGAAGATGAATAAAACATTAAAGGACATAAGTATAGGATTTATATGAAACAATGAGCCAATAGATACAATAATTTTTTTTTTTTTTTCTCTACCAGATCAAAGAGAACATTGACTCTTTTTTAATTAAGTAAAATATAACAATATGAAAAATAAAAGTTGAAAAAAGTAGTACCTGCAAAGATTCTAAAGCTTCTTCCATCTGTTTTTCTGCAATCTTTTTGAGTTTTGTTAGTTCATCAACCTGTTGTTGATAAACTTCAACTTCTTCTTGCAATCTACTAATCTCATGTTTTGCTCCTTCAAACTCGACCTATAAACAAACATTATCAATATCATAATATTACTGTCATTTAAACATCTTTTTTTTCATTTAAACAAATTTTTCTTCATAAAATTGTAATAAAAGCGGCATCATAAAAAATAATAATAATTGTATAATGGTAAATATAGTAATATTAGATTCATATTTAATCTTTAATATCTATTGTAAACTTGTTTAACAAATACAATCTGAAAATAAATAAATAATTCAATGGAAATGTATCAATACCACAAAATAACCACTTTATAAGTGAAATAAATAAAATTCTTGCAATAAACTTTTGTTTTATTGAGTATTAATATTGTCTGCCACACTGAAGGGCATGGGTAATAGGGCTATAGTATTCATTCACACAATAAGTACATAAGAAAGGAAAATAAATAAAATAACTAAGAAGAAAAAAATAAAATAAAAAATATATATATATAAATAAAAAGATAAAGTAATATACAAGATAAATAAAATAACAGATTGAAGCCGAATGATAATAAAATAAATAAAACACATTCACACCTATGTACAATATTTACATTGGCCCAGGGGACTCTGAATCAAGCTTTGTCACCCAATTGTGTAAGCCAAAGCAGGACTCCAGGAGATCCCAGTGCTTTTCTCCCAGCCGCGTCACTGGTATTGCAAGCCAGTGGAGACTGATGGAGGGCACTAGAGCAACATATGCTCAGGACTTGAGTGAAGAATCTGGCCAGTGCCAGTACTCCAATATATACATTTTTACAAAAGATCGCGGGGCCACTGCTGTTTTAACCTCCAAGGAGGATTGAAGGGATGACTGGAGCTAGATAGAGACTGTACTACAGGATTAGGATGATGAGTGAGATTCTGGTGAAATTTGGAAAATTTGTCTGGGATTAGGTCAAGTACAAATGGGATATTAAGGTCACTGTGTAGGGTTTTATTGGTTATAAGAGGGAGCATCGACTATTGTTGAAAGAACTTTAGACTGGAAGGATTGAATGCATTTGATGTTAGAAAGTTTTGCTGTTCCCCAGTTTGAGTCCGTAGGTCCCCATAGGTTTCAGGATTGTCTTGTAAATTAATAGTTTGTTCTCAACTGAAAGTTGAGATTTTCTATTGAGTAGTCTATATAGTTGGCCATATTGTCAGTTAAGCTGTTGTCTTTTATGTCTGGTATGTGGGTTCCATGTTAGTCTTTTGTCTAGAAGGAAACCAAGATACCGAACTGTGTCGGAGAGAGGAAGTGGTATGGAGTTGAAATAAACTGGTGGACACGACTTGCGCCGAAGGGTGAAGGTGGTGTGTTTGGATTTGGATTCATTAACTTGGATTAACTTATTACACCAGTGTTCAATAAGAGAGAGGTGACTTTGTAGGTTAAAGGATGCTGTTTCAGGATCTGAATTGGAAGATAGGATGGCTTTGTCATCAGTGAATGTTGCCAGTAGGGTTTCAGGATGAGTAGGAATATCAGCGGTAAAGAGAATGTAAAGGATAGGACCCAAGACGCTCCCTTGAGGAACTCCTGCCTGAATTGAATAACAGTTGGAAAATTCAGTTCCACAGCGGATTTGAAAGGAGCAGTCAGAGAGATAGGATCGAAGTACTAGATATAAGGACTAAGGTAGATAGGTTTTAAGCTTGAAGAACAATCCAGTGTGCCATACCTGGTCAAATGCTTGCGCAATGTCCAGAAATGCAACTAAGCAATATTGCTTGCTTTCTAGGGCTGAGGATATATGGTCAACAACTCGGAGGCCTTGTTGGACAGTGGAATGTTGGGAACGAAATCCGAATTGGTGGGTAGGTTTTGGAATTCTATTATGGGTAGGATTTATTTCAGTAGAATCTTTTCAAAGATTTTTGAAAGGATGTGAAGTAGGCTTATTGGTCTATAGGATGTTGTGTTATTAGAAGGTTTACTTGGTTTCAGAAAAAGGATGATGATAGAGTGTTTTCATAAGAGAGGAAAGTGGGTAGTTCGTAGGATACAATTGTATATATAAGTGAGGAATATGATTGCTTTGGATGGAAGTTGCTGAAGGATATGTGGGATTAGAAGGTCGTATCCAGGAGATTCACGGGGAGATAGTTTTTGTAAATGATGTTTGACCTCAGAAGAGTTAACTGCTTTTGGTGGTAAGGTGAGTGGGATGGGTGAACAGAGGAATTCTTTTACTTTTGCAGAGTGGGTAGGATGGGATTCCGGATGAGGAGTGAATGTGTAGGAGAGGTGTTTGGCGAATTCCTCAGTTTTGTCTTTATCAGACGCCCCCCAGGAGCCATCACTTCAAGGAGGGGATGGAAAACATGATGGGATTTTAGGATTTTTTTGGTGATATTCCAAAGGATTGGTATCTGAAGTAGGATAATTCCTGCTTCAGTTGTTTACAGTAATAATTATAGGAACGGCGATCGGCTGGATGTCTAGTGCGTTGCCATAATGATCTGGCACAGTGTTTGATATGGATTAGGTCAAGAAAGTGTTGAGATAACTTATTTTTCTTAAGGATTTTTGGGGAGTGATTAGAGAATGATGACGGGTAAGAGAATGATTGAGGGGACGGATCTAAACCACTGTGGATGAAGCAATTAAGGATATCAGGATTGCGGTTAGGATCAGTGGGCCAGTAGGTAGGTGAGTTAGGAGGAAGGAGGCTGAAACATTGGGAATTGAGTGCAGACAGCAATGTTCTACCACGACAGTTCGTGGTTCTTGAGCCCCACTGTTGATGCTTTGAGTTTAAGTCTGCACCCAGGATGAAATGATATCCTAAGGAATTGAGGATGGAACTAAATTGGGCATTGGAGATGGATTGATTAGGAGGGCAATAAGATGAGGCAACGGTAATAGGAAAGGAGAAGGTTTTGATTATGATAGCAGTGGATTGTAGGAAATCGTGGGTTGGTGTTGGGAGCAAGTGATGAGAGAGATTGGTGTACAAGGACAGCAGTACCGGCATGTGGCCTACCGTCAGGATAGTCAGTACGATATGTTAAGTAGTCCATTAATATGTTAGTTAAGTGTATAGAATTACACCTTCAGACTAAAGTTACAGAGCTGCTGCTTTAAAAAACAGTGGCTGATTTAAAGAATATTAGGCCAGTAACTTGAGGACCGAAACAGAAAATATATTGTTAAAAATGTCGCTCGAAATCGATAATCTCTCAATGGCTGGTAAGTGGTTATGAAGGTTTGAGTGATTTTCAATATTTTAACAGTATTGAAGTTTATTCTTGTTTAGAACCTTCTATATGCAGTATAGACCTCTTTTCCATGTCTCAGCAGAGAAACATTTTGCAAGACAAGGTGTCAAATGAAACCGAATTTCATGAAGAAATTATGAATCCTGATACAGAGAGATATAATTGACCTAACATTTCACAGTGGACGCACATTATGCATTTCAACTTTCAGTCTGGCTAAAATAGGTTTGTAACCTTCAAGATATCTCACACCTCCTTCCCTAATAGTGGATTACGAGGGCCTAAAACTCTGTAAGCAAGAAACGACATCTAATTGGCCAATAACTCTTTTAGACATGACCTAATAAAAAGATGGAACCATCCCAGGTACAAAAAAACAAACTAAAAAAGAACAATAACAATAGAGAAAAGTAATAACAAACCTGTGATGACTTCAGTCCTGAAACTTGCTTTTGAAGAGTAATATTTTCTTCTTCTAATTCAGAATAATCAAGAAGAAGACGAGTTTCTCTAGTCTTTATTTCTTTTAACTCTGATCTTATCTGCTTTCTTTCACGCTCTATTTCAATTTTACATTTATTTAATTCATTATATTCGTGTAATATCCTATCTCTCTCTTCCACTGCCCTATCCAACTCCTGCCTCATCTGAAAAAGAATAAGAAGAAGTCATATTAGTCTATTAAAAATTATTAAATGTTATCATCTAGAGTAAACTTATAATTGTATTGGTGCATTGACCAAAGACACAAGACACAAACTACATACTACAGCATAATTTCAGAAATTAAATTTCCCCATTCATCAATTAAGATTTTGTCAGACTTCAAATTAAGACCCTAGATCACACCACCCAAACGTCACCTCATACAATTCTGCTTACTACACTATCGCGATTCTATGGAAAGTACAAAACTCCTAAGAAAAGCCAGTCTCCCTTCCTTACCTCTGCTCTACACTCTGCACTACTCTATGATATCTTGGTCACTGTCATTAGTCAGTATAATAGTTCAAGTCATTATTGCTATATAGACAATGTAAAAATAAACATTTATTGTATTCAATTATTTCAAGCTTTACAATATTTGTACAATAGAATTAATGAAATATAAAATTCAATTGAATTTTGTAAATTAAGCATAGTTAATACTAGTATAATTGCTGTAGATGATATTAACTAACCATATCATTAAATGAATCTATCTTTATGCTCTATGTTTTATATTATTATCTTAACTAACTATATATATTATTATCTTAACTCAAGTTAAGACAAAATATTCGTTAATCTTAAAGTCTGAAAATAAATTATTGGGTTGGCAAATAAGTCCTTTTGGTTTTTTTGTTTATTTATATGTCACTATGATACACTTCTTATCTGATGAATTAATCCCTAAGGTGGATGATGTCTCGACTGAACGCACCTGTCAAAATTGATTTGCCAAATTTCATTCAGGAAATTTTGACATCAATGATGCTCAACGGTCTGGTCGCCCACATGAAATTGAAATGAACAATGTTAATGCGATTGTTGATCAAAATTCCACCCAATCAATGCGAGAGATTGCTATGGTCCTAAATGTGTTGCACACAGCATAGAAAACCATTTGCACAAGCTCGGCTATGTTTTCAGGTTTAATGTTTGGGTCCCTCACTCTCTAACCCAAGTCAACTTCGCAACACACATCATGACCACAAATTACAAACAGATTCACTACGGAAACGGCAATCAAATGACCTATTTTTAAAAAGGTTGGTAACAGGAGATGAAAAATGGATATTTTACGATAACGTTTTATTTCATCCTGAAAAACTGTAAGGATTAATTTGACAACCAAATATATCATGGAATATGTACTGACATAAAACATAACTTTACCGTACAAATATAACCCAGATAACAAATTTTTTACTTTCGAAATTATAAATAATTTAACTTTAGACCATTGTACTTCCTTATTTCCTTTTATTAGTAATGTATATGAATCTTATTATATGTTATCCTATCGGGTATATACAAATAAACAATTAACTAGTGCTAAGACAAAATATTCATTAATCTTAAAATCTGAAAATAAATTATATAATGGGCTCTGTACTGACATGAAACATAACCTTGTTATATCTAATAATCCAGATAACAGATTCTTGTACTTTTCAATAATTAATAATTTGGCTTCAGACCATTGCACATCCGTTACTGTCTCTACCTTTTATAAGATATGAAGAATATGTAAGTCTATATCTTTCTTATGGTAAATCAAGTATTAAATTATAAACTATATTTTTAGGATTAATTTTTTAAAAATTAAATAATGATGAAGAAATTGTAAATAATATTACAATTATGTTAAAAATGAAGCAGATAGTCAACCCCTAATCTTCTCCAAATTTCCTCTAACATGTATAATATACGTATCATTTGAAGATTTAAAAAGAGATAAATGCAGAATTTACAGAAGATTTTGAAGATACTATAATGGATTATAACTTTGTGATCATTGTAATAATAACAATAATTGTTATTATTTTTTATATAAATTAGGTCATTATTCACCAACATTTTATTTACTAGCTATTATATTATGACGTTTCAACCATCACTATGGCCATTTCAAGTCTTATTGGCTTGAAATGACCCCATACAGAAATGACGTAGGGGAAACTCTTAAATAGCAGGACAATTTAATTTTTCTCTGAACAAATTAATACGACATAAATAATGAATATCTAACGGAGGACTCAATAAGACTTGAAAATGGTCCTAGTGAGGGTCATAATAAAAGTAAACGTCCTCTAAAGGAATTAATCTCTCAAGCAATTCATATGAAAGAATCATGGTTCACTATGATTCAATAAGTATTATCGAAAATAAAAGTACAAAAGAGAAAAACAATTCTGTACATATATAAATAAACCATACAGAGAGAAAAAAATAAATAAATAAACAAAATAAACGACTTTTTAAAAAATCGAACAGTCAGCCTGGACCCTTAATTCAATGTGGAACTCCATTCCAATTTATAATTTCAAATTGTCAGGTGACTAAATGAAAAAAAAAAAAAAAAATGAAGAGGAATTAGCTGGTAAATACCTAATTATTTTTCAAGGCTTAAATTGGTTATTTAATATTTTAATTGATATCCAAAACTTTTCTATAATTTATATACTTTCCATCTCTCAGTAGGATCTTTTAATCTTAATGTGTCCTCATGATGTATTGATAACTAATAGGCACACAAAATAACAAATCATGACATATAGCCGAGTCAAATTAGACATGTTACCTAGCAAAAGGTCGAGTAATTCAAATCTTTTTTATATTGTTAGGTATGTAGTGAATATAAAAAATCCAAGTCTTGTGGGTTGACTGAAGTGTTGAAATTTTTAACTTTTTTTTGGTTTATGCTATATAGCTTAGCTTCTTTTAAGAGCGACATAGATAAACAATGATTATATTTAATCTTTAACAGCTTAAAATTACCTAAAATTTTTTAACATAAAACTTTTTTATACCTAACAGGAAGCAAAACTATCAAGATTTTAAAAATTACCCATTTCGATTTCTTCACGATAATGCTCTTTCAGTTTTGAACGGAAGAATTCTGCAACTCCATTTTGAACCTCTTCGAGAGAATTTGGAGATTTTCCTTGAAGACAATGGACCATTGACTACAACGGTGGGCCAGACCTCCCTATCATGCACCTTCCCCCCACATCCTAATAAATTGTATACAGTTGTGTTTATTGTAATAATTTATTTTAAAAACGCTAATATTCCCACAAAAATAAGTGGCCGCAAAAGGCAGATTGACATCTTTGACGAGTAATGTAATTTGGATAATATTAATGATTAAAAAATGTGTTAGAATAAAGTACATTTAAAATTAACAAGAAAAACAGTAATTGTTGATGACCAATTTTATTAAAATAAGTGTAAAACTGTAAAATTGAAATTACAAGGGTTTTTTTTTTCAAATTTCAAAACATCAAATTTATTTTTAGAGATTTGTATTAAAAAAGTTTATAAGTTTAGAGAAATATATTTCCTATAAGAGCTATAGTGAATTGTGTGTGCTTTAATATTTAATTTATAAATTTGAGCTACATCATCTATAAAAACCCATAATTAATTTTTAAAAAAACGATGTATGTTTTTAGTGAATTTTTAAAACTTTACCAATATCGAAAACTCAATAGTTAACTTCCTGTAGGGTTTAGAAAAAAATGTATACAAAAAATATCACTGAAAGATAATGAGCAAAATATGTGACTGAAAAAAAAAAAAAAAAACCTGTACCGCAACCCATGACGGGTCTTGGGTTCAGCACTCTATAGGGAAAATACTGTTTCTTAGTCAAAAGTTGCTCAAGGAGGTGATTTGACTGAGATCACGCTTAACCATCAGGTTTTCCCCCTTAATTAATTATTTAATTCAGGGTACCCAATTTATAGAGGCTGGGTGTATCCAAGGAGGGTCTCTTCACCCCAAGGTTGCCCCACGGCCGATGAAACAGAATAATAATTTTTTTGCCAAGAGGCAGGATTCAAATCTGGGACCCTCAGGGTATTGGAAGATCATTGCCCTACCACTGGTCTACCTCACTCCTACTGACATCCAAATCTATCATTGTTACTGTTTACATACTATATTTCATAAAGTATAACAAAACTGCACAATAGCGTTGACCACAAAACATAAAATAGGAGATACACATACAGGGTGACCACCCCTTCTGACTTTCTAGAAGATCTGAAATGGAGGAATAATAAGTTTATTCACTGGTCGTATGGGGTAGGTAAGAAGGACCATCAGGCCCACATCCCAGATTTGATCCTTCTACCCTTTAACAATACCGATACCAATACATTTATTTACAGGGTGTCACAGAGAGAAACGACAGTAATTGATGTGGAGATAGTCAGCCAAAAATGTAATTCAGTGGTACCAACTCCACATTCATGTCTCAGTCAATTGTTGAAATATCATATTTTAAAGGATTTCACAAGAAAATCATACCTCTCCCCAACCTAAAATATCCAAATTCCCTAATATTACTGAACATTTCTCAACTTATGTCACTATTTTCATAAGTTTCCAGAAGTGGACAACTCCGAATACCTCTCATCCCCAGTAACCTCTATGAATGACCAACGGTCAGAAATAGACCAGCAAATGTTCTCTCATTGAAAGGTATTGAAATTTTAAAAGATCTCAAATTAAGGGTGTACAATGCTATGATAAAGCCAGTTCTGACACACGACTGCAAAACCTAGACACTAACCAGCATCCAAGAAAAAGTATAGACAATTTTGAGAGAAAAACCTCTAAATGATAACAATAGAGATCTGGGATCAGAGTACAAGCACATGGAGGAGGAGGAACAATACAAAACTGCTTACAGTAACTGGTCAATCAATATCTCATGATATGAAAGCAAGGAGGTTAAGATGGGCAGGACATGTAGATCAGAGAAATCCATCAGATAGTCTCTACACAATAAATAATGCCTTAACAGGAGGCAAGAGAACATGTGGAAGGCCAAAAACCAGATGGATAGATTGATTTAACTAAAATAGTGAAGAGCTTTTTTTTTTTTTTTTTTTTTTTTATTAAATAACTCCTACCCACCATTTCTGGCATACAGGGGGAGGGGGGTTGTTCTAGAGGTACAACCAAACCTATTCTAACCAGAGTGGGAGGGTGGAGTTTCATTCCATGGGGCCGCCACGAAATAAAAGTCAACCACTCACAGGACGGATTTGAACTGGCGTTGCTAGGCACGAGGATACTAGACCGGGCAACGCTCCAACACACCCGGCCACCATGACCTCACCAAAATACTGAAGAGCTGTAAGCAGATAACTGGAGAGGAACAGGACAAGGTAGGCAGAGGTGGAGAAGGTTTGTTAAAAAGATCTACAAGGTTATAAAGCCCTCCTCCCCTCCAAAAAAAAAAAAAAAATATATATATATATATATATATATATATATATAAATTAAATAAAATGAATAAAACAAAAAAAAAAAAACTGAAAGATAATTTGAAATATAATGAGCAAAACAATAATTAACACCTAAATCCACATTCCCAATTACTTTTTAATTGGCTAATCTAAAATATTTAGCTGTTTACAGTTTTAAAATCATTAAACAGTGCCAATTTCTAAGATCCACAAGGAATTTATCTCCCCTGCATTTGAAATTGAACATTTAAATTACTTCTGTGGTAAAAAAAAAGCCATATGAGGTAAGGGAAGTTTTGCTTCACACATGAAAAGTAAAAAATAGAAACAACAGACTAGAGACAGATTTCTAATAAAAAATGGCAACCTGCCTAGTCGAATTCCTGAGAATCTTTACCTCATCATAGGCATGCATACTCAAGCATGATGATACAGAAACATGAAAATTATGTTTATTTCAATATTCCATTGGTTGCAATATAACCTAAACATTGTTTATAAGTCGGTCACACTGTTATTTATGTTTATTAATAGTAAGAAGTAAAAGTGATTATGCATCCCAGAATCACGAAAAATAAGGAGTCTGGAGATCTGTCACCTCTCTACACTTTTAGACAGTCAGCTGTATTTGTCCCTTAAGGTACAAAGTGATGATGTGATCTCGGCACATTGACCATCAAACATGACACTTGTGAGCTAGCACCATTTAATTTTTGTTAAATTTAAAATGTTCAACTAAGATACACACCTAATTGATGAATTTACAAGTTTCATGGTAAAAGCCCACAAGTCATTCTGTCCTATAAAAATCATATGAATAAAACTTGTATTAAAAATTAAGAACCTAAAATAAATAGTCTACATATTTCTATTTATAATACGAATAAATTTATCGATTATTATAGAAGTCAAAATTTAAAAATTATAACTTGATATCAAATTAAGAACCTAAAATAAATAGTCTACATATTTTTATTTACAATACGAATAAATTTATCGATTATTATAGAAGTCAAAATTTAAAAATTATAACGATATCAAATTAGGAAACTGATCAAATAATAATAAGCCCTAACAACCAACTTACTTTTTATGTTAATGTCCTCAACCTGACCGAAATGAGAATTATTACTCTATTTCCACACCATAAAAGTGAAGATATAAGAGATAGTTACCTGTTTCAAATCATTTTCTAAATCAAGGATAGTGGAATTGAGAGATGTTTCCATAGCAGCAGATTCACTAAGGAGTGATTCTTCCTGCTCGATTCCAGATTCCTTAGTAACTTTATGAGTTGTTTGGAATTTCGCCAACGCCTAGGAAAAAAAATACGATTAATGAACCACTTAATTTTAAATGAATAGATGTTCTTTTAAAGAGGCTTTTGAAATACATTTATTGGTTATAGTAAACTTTCTTATGATTTCAAATGCTTCTATAATTGGCATTACATAATGCCAATACTTCAATGAGTAATGAGGTATATGTCAGTTCCAACTGTAAACTAGGCCTTCCAAGATTCAATGGAATTTTGGGAAGACTATAACACACTAACATTCTCAGGACTTATTCAAACAATTATTAGGCTCAAAACATTGAACAAGGAATAGCTCTAGGTTATAAACTATAAATTCTCTCAACAATAAGTGCATTTTTAATGTAATTTAAACATAAGAACTAAGATTGATATTGAGATATAGTTCTAAAGAGACAAAATCATATTTTAAAAAAATATGACAAACTAAAAGAAAGTCAACCCTTATTTCAGTTCTACTAATTAATGTTAAATACTACTATCAATATACGATATTGATAGTAGGGGGATAAATATAACCAAGGTATAGATATGGCAGTTATTCTCTAGAACCAGAATCTTATCACGATATAGAGAATTTCGGAGTATTCAAGCTACAAAACCAAACTACAAAACACAAAAGTACATCATATCATATTTCAAGAAAGCTTCTGAATACAAAACATTACTCCAGTCAAAAGAAATAAACAAAATTACTACATAGATGTGTGAAAAGTATATTCAGAAGAGAAACAAACAAACAAAACTGATAAGGGTGTATTTGACAGATTCTATGACAAAGATTGAAAGATTCTATACTACCATTTAAGTTATATAAATTGACAGAGATAGATTATGCACTACAAGTTAAACTTGATATAAAGTTCAAATATAAACTATTGCAATACAAATGTACTTACTTCCTGGGTGATGTCAAGTTCATTTCTGGTGTTTTCATATAAACTTTCAAGCTCTTCACACCTTTGCTGCAAGTTCTCTTTTTCTTCCAATAACACCAATCCATATTGAGCAGACTGGACTTTTTCACTACTAGCCTGGTCAAGTTCACGACTAAGTCTTTCAATTTCTTGTCGTAATTCATTTATAGTACCTGCACCTAAAGTCTCCATAATTCCAACAAAAAAATCTTCATCAGAATGCTATCTATTGCTGATATTTTTGTGCATGATAATCTCTAGCATTATAAAAGTTTATATCTGGGTAAAATAATAACGTAGTGAGAAGTAAGTTATATCAACTAATCCATCGTTCCATCTTAACAATTACCGAGTAAAATATCCAGACTGTAGTCTAGATAATTACCTGAAGTTTACACTCCACATCTGTATGATTACGAGACCTTCACGATCAGTGAATTGGCAGTTTTCTATTTATGATTTAGACAGAACTGAGCGAAACCGTAATACATATTTTGATGTAAAAATGATGTATATTAAAATCAAATTATAAACATTTTATCATATTAATACCTTTATAAAAATTTATTGAAATTAACTGAATATGTGTTCGTTTCTCTTTATTCCCAATAAACTTTACAGTTGTGGTGACGTCATAAGAATTCTAATAAAGTATAAACACAATCAATTCTATATATCACTAAAAATATGATGAATTATCTTTGTATTATTGAGTCAAGGTGTCTTTTATGGGCGAATGAACACACTTTGCATTACGTCATGAGCGCTCCACTCCAACTCCTAACAAAAATTAAAATATAATGTAGGAGAAAGAAATGAGACACATTTGAAAGATGCTGTATATTTCTTTACTTGTTTTTCAAATGTCTCTAAATGAGTTGCCATTAATAGGTTTAATTTTTGATAATCCCCAACTTGAGCCGGCGCCCCTCCATGTCAGCGCCGCTGATTGCCTTGCTCTGAAGCCGACACTGTAATAGGTACCTGGAACTAGGTAATCTAGGAGACCAAAACTTCGCTGGAGAGAGTTTCTCCTGATGCAGTGATTGGTTGAATGGGGAGGCTAATCCAAAGGCCGTGACCTAGAAATGGATCGTTTGCCAATTAAAGAAAACAAAAACTTCGTGTATTGCGTGCATCACAGGTATAGGTATTTTCAGACTGAGGGAAGTGAAAATATCAAAACGGGAGAGAAGATAATACACTATTATGATTAATTAAGTTCCACGAAATATGTTTAGTCCGACAATAGTGTCACTGATAAAGAAGGCCGCTATATTAATTTGTATTTCATTCTAAGTATTGTTTTTGTTTAACCATTGGTATATATACTATAATAATAATGATGGTAGTAATAAGGCTTAGCGAACCTAAGGTTCGATACCGATACCACCAATCGATGTCCACATTCTTCCATCCACCGGGCTTCGTTTAAACTCAACCCTGCCAAATCAGCCTTAATGCAATCTACCCACCTTCGCTTTGGTCTACCCCTCGGACGCTTGCCAGTCCGGTACAGCGCATATTATTTTTTTAGGAATTCTTTCGTTACTTAGCACAGCGATTTTACATGCCAATCTTATTCGCTTCAACTTAATCACCTCAATTATAGTAACTCGATACAGTTCATGCAATTCAGCGTTGTGAATCCGCCTAAATTCTCCGGTTAACTCGTCCTTTTTCGGCCCGAATATTCTACGCAATACTTTATTTTCAAATACTTCAAGCCGTTGCCCATCCCTTAATGTAAGTGGCCACGTTTCGTATACATAAAGAACCGTAGGTAGGATAATGGTTTTGTGAATTCTAATTTTTAAATTCGGGACAAAAGGCGAGAACTAAGTAATTTTGACAAAGAAAAATAACAAGCATTTCCCGCCTTCAGCCTAACCTTAATATCCTCTTCAATTTCGTTTTTTCTAGTTATCGTAGACTCTAGATACCTAAATTTCTGGTCGTTTTCAAACACATTCCCTTCTATATCGATATCATCGAAATTGTCACTGTTTTTGCAGCTAATCATATATTTTGTATTATCCGTATTTATCTCGAGTCCTAGTTTTTTACCACCTTCCATCAACGTTTTTTTATTTAGTTTTATTTTTTCCATGTCTTCGCATAACAGTACCAATGACCATTTTTATTAATCTTACCGTTTTTCATATTACGTCACCTCACCAGGCTGTGGTAACGAGATGTTTTGAAACCAAGAATAGAATGTAAGAGCAAATGTTGGCTTGTAGGTTGAAATGATGCAGTTTTTGGGCCACGTGGAAATGCGAAGGCTTGTGCTCCAGTCGTAGTTTGTTCCTACTGACTCCGAACTGAATCTCGTAGGTGGAATACATGATGGAGGAAAATTAATTAACAAAAAAAAACTTTATTTATTCTTTCTAACAAGCTTTTATTTGAGAACAAGAAAATACAGTTTTTCTCTTGTACCCAGCTTTTATTAAGTTCCAATAGATCTGGACGCATTGCAACCTACAGCAACTATTGCTTCCTTGATGAATCCATGGGATTCATAAAACTGGTCACGATAATAATTTGTAAATTTCTCATTAGAAAGTGTTGTTCTTTTCTTAAAATAGGCGCTGTTGCAAACATTTTCATGAAGGAAGGTACTAATTATTTGGTCTCCGATTTGATCGGAATCTGATTATGATCTGAATCGGAAATTATTCTGAGTTTTCTTTTTTAGAGAACTCATTTCAACCTGCAGGGCCATTTACAGTAATCTGTCTGAGATTTTGACAATAATGGTAAAAATTAGCGTTCATTGATTGTAGTTTGTCGACCATTTTACTTAATCAAACTATTAAGTTTAGGTTCGACTCGTTCGACGAACAATTGGACATTCTTTAATTTCTTAAAGAATACGTTTTCCTCTTTGATGCATGTTTAGTTGTAATACATGAAAAAAGAAATCAGATAAATCTGGATTTTATGGCTGTAAATAGTTTTCTCTCGGTGACCAGTGTTAGCAATTTTTTTTTACATGTCTAAACGCATATACAGAGTGTCCCGTAAGTAGAGATAAACATTTAAGGGAGTGATAACAGAATTTAAAAAAAAAAATACACGAAAAAGTTTATACAAACAAAGGTTTGATTTTCAGCAGGAAAGTAGGAAATTAAGTTTTGTGACTATTTAAGTAAGTCACGATTTTTGGTGAATAGGAAGTGATAACTAAAAAACTATTTAATTTGAGTAATTACCGATTATTCACTGTAGATTAGATAAAATTTACTTTAAATAAAAATAGAGTTTGCTTTTAAAACCATTTAAAGAGGACTTTTGAGCGGCGAGACTCAGCTAAGGAGTGGCTGGAGATTGGTAGGGGTGGGGGGAAAGTGCGTCCCCCCCCCTGAGAAAATTCCTGTATCCGCCACTGATGGAAGCCTATTCTAACCTTTCGGCCTTCTCAATTGCGATCCCATATTTCAACTTTAGCTAATTATAAAATTCTTTTATATCTAATATTTAAGTATTTTTTTATAGCAGGTTACGATACGAAATGGTTAATTATTTCAAATGAAAACAATTAAAGGTAGTTTAAGGGAAAACAACTTAATGGTTTAGCATCTAAGCCCCGTTAGAGAATATTAATTAAATTAAGACCAACATTATATTAAAGTTTACACTGAAATAATGAATTTAATCAAAATCGCTTGAGCCATTTTCGAGAAAATTGTAAAAATGTGTAAAATCGATTATATAAAATGGTACTTCTGAATAGTCGATTTTGACGAAAAGGTTGCGGTAACATCTCAGGCATGTACAAAACTTAAATAAGCAATTTCAGTTTCATACAACTTTTCGTTTTGGAGCTTGACTGTTCACATACCTCCAGACAGAAACACACACACTCAAAAAAAAAAAAAAAACTATCAGTGAGAAGGACATTGATGTTGCTATACTATGCACTAACGGATCCAGGATTTAATTTTTTTGTAGGGAGCACGAAAGCTATTTTTTCAGATTTATAATGATCATTGCTTAGGAAAAAAAGAAACGAAAGATACTAACTACCTATATGTAAAGGTGTTTAAGTGATTCTTGAAGTCCTATTAAATGTAACTACACGAATAATAATACTTTAAGAGATTATTTTTTACCATAAAATATCATTATATTTTACTTTTTTTGGGGGGGAGGGGGGGAAGGCTTCAGCACGAAAGCTTCCCTTGTAGATCTACCTCTGGTATTATGCGAGCAGTATAGAGACGTCGATAGGCCCTGGATGAAGGACTTTAGTGGTCGAGCAGCTATTTGTGTCTGAAAGGACGACTTCACCCAGAAAGTCTAACAGATTCGACGAAAATGACTTGTATGGATCAAGGTGAGAGATCCGTTACAGAGGCATTTACATCTGTAGTGTCTACGCGTCACCTATTGCACCACAACAACAATGTCAAGCTCTACTTGATGGCATTGAGGAACTGGAACTGCGAGGTCGGTATTCCCTCATCGTCGCAGGCGACTAAAACGCATGAACTATTGCATGGGGTAGTAGATATACCAACAGTAATGTGTTCTTGCCACGTTTTCTGTTGTTGAAGCTGTTCCTCTAAACACCGGCTCCAAAGCTCTCAAGAAATCGTTATTCCTCAATAGTCGAATTAATTTGTGTTAGCGCAAACCTTACTAGTCGGGACAATTATTGGCATGTCAGTGATCAATATATTCATAGTGACCATCAGGCATCTGCTTTGAACTCTTTGCCCCTCAAGCCAAAAGGAAAAATATTTAAAACGCAGCCAACAGCTGGTTGGAACCATCGATCCTTCAACAGAGATTCCTTTGTTATAATTATTATTATTATTATTATTATCCGAGTTACCAAGGTCAGTAGAAGAAAGGGTAACAACTGGTGAAATTTATTACTGATTTATGTGATGCATTAATGACTAGGACTTCTAGGAGAGATCGACACATGACAGTGTATTTGTTGATCGAGGAGATCGCTGTTTACTGACGAGCCTGTCTTTGTACCAGATTAGCCTAGCGATCAAGAGACCGTTAACTATGAGGCAAGAAGCAGGAGCATAAAGAAACTAAGAGGAACCTAGTCTAGGCAATAAAAGAAAGTAAACGTAACTTCCGGATGTAGACGAAGGCACTTGAGGAAGGCCCTACAAAACAGTCATGGCCAAACTGAAAAATTCAAAATCCTCGCCCCCAAGCTCTTCAGAATAGTTTTGAAAAACAGTAGCAGTGCTATTTGGAAGCTGGTTGACAAGACAGCGATGCTTGATCTGGAACCAGTGCATGAAATCACAGAGAAAGAACTGCTAGCATGCAGGAAAATAGCGGATTCCAAAGCTCAGGACCCGGATAATGTCCCAAACTTTGTCTTGAAATTGGCTATTATTAAGTCAAGCCCACAACTCTTC